TTTTGGAAAGTCTCCTGAAGTTACCTTTAACCACCTCCCGTCTGGCCGTTGTATATAAACAGCCGGAAGGTGGCAGTGCAGGGTCGGGTGGCCATTCATAAACGGCCTCCCTGCCCCCTGCTTGTGCGCGAAGCACCGCGATCCGGTGCCCGCTGTGTCCTCCGGAAACAGTGGAACACCGATCATTGTACGGGACCTCTGTGCGAGGTCCTGATCATGTGATCACTGATTAGCCAATCAGTGATCACATGCAGAGTAGTAAGCAAGATGTCACTTCTGACATCATTGCTTACTATGTGTGAAATCTGTGAATGATCACCGAGGTCACATGATACAAGGCTATTCACAACAGCCTTGTACCATGTGACAAACTATGACCAATCACAGCTCACACAGTAGTTCTCAATGGCTGCAAGAATGCAGCCAGATAGGAGAAATGATTGCTTTTACAGCCTTTATGGGTATAAAAGCAATGAGTGTAAAAAAAAAAATCTTCATCACCCCCCACAAGTAGTACAGTGTCACCATGGTGACACTGTACTGCTAGGGTGACGGTATGTAAAAAAAACAAAACAAAACATAAATAATATAAAAAAAAAAATAAACATGTAAAAAAATGTTTAAAAATTATAATTTTTGGTTATAAACTAATTTGGGTTATTTTTTTTTTACTAAAAATATAACGGAATAAGTTTTGGCCAAGATTTATGATGAAATATTATTTATTTGCAAAATTTTATAGGAAAAACACTTTTCAAAATTTTTGGACTTTTTCATTTACATAGCAAAAGAAAATAAAAATCCCAGTGGTGAATAAATACCACCAAAATAAAGCTTTATCTGTCTAAAACAAAATGCTAAGAAATTCATATGGGTAGTGTTGCATGACCACACAATTGTCATTCAAAGTGTGATAGCGCTGAAGGCTGAAAATTAGCCTGGACAGGGGGGGTGTCCACAATTGAAGTGGTTAACAAACGCTTCTAAACGGAAACGCTCATAAATGCGGTACGCAAACGCGGCTAAACAGACGTTTTTTAATCTACGTTTTCCAGCAGTTTCCATGGTTCAGAAGTGTCCCGTGTACATGGAACCTTAATATGTGTCATTCTCAAACCCTTTGGCCACGGCTGAACAGGAAAGGCAGTAAGAGGGGTCTCTACAGCAGCACCCACAGGTCCCACCTATTCCCCATTCTATCCAGCTCCTGCACCCACATCACATTGTGTGCATCTACCGCCTTCCACAAGGGAACCTATCGCCTTGGAACACTGGAGAGCCTGCTCTCTCAGGGATGTAAAGAACGTTCCATGCAGTGTAGATGGAATCATGACTATCACTCCACCATTCAGCTTTCTATCGTCTCTGAGGGACTTCCGCTAATCACGTGGTACGTAAAGCTCTCGAGAAGAGTGACTTCGAGCATTACGTCACAGCCCGGTATAAAAGGCAGAATCGGAAATCTCGCGATCTCTTCCCATCTCCCAACATGGCGGTGAGTGTATGCGGGAACGGAGATTACCGGCTGTTGTAATCTGCTGCAATCCTCCTGCTGTGATAATATCGGGCGGGTCGGCTTTGTGTTAGGGTTGTGTACCGTCCTGCGGACCTCAGGCGCCCTATTATTGTATGGCAGGGAGTGAGGAGGGGGCTGCAGTGACGGATGGGCCTAGTGTGTATGTCGCCCTGTACATTTCCCATCTCATCCCTAATCAGGGCACTAATGAGCCCTGTGTGTCTGCTGTCTGTCACTCAGTGTCTTATTGGGATGCTACTCTGCAAGGAAGCGAAGGCCTACATGATATCTAGTTCTTGGAGCATCTGTTGGTTTTGTAATGTTTGTATTTGTGGGCTTTTCTAAAGATGATCCAAAGCTGAACTGTATACATTGGAGACTTCATGATGATCTCATGTGTTGCTATGCAGTGTGTAAAGTCCGATGCTACTTAATGGCCAGGCCCAGATAAAATGGGGGGGGGGGGGGTGTTGTGGTCCCCTGTCCAGTGGATGTGCTGTGATCAGGACATGGCTAGACTTGTCTGATACTGCCCTCCGCATGTTGCTGGGATCATCTACTTCCTCTGGCGGTAGCCTCTGCTCTAGGCCTTCCTTTTATTAGGATTATTGTCTGTTTTCTTTTATTTTGGTGTAATGTATGAATTGCTGCAGCTTTACATCCCGGTCACATCAAAGCTGACGTTGACAATCGTGCGACTTGCATCCCGGTCACATCAGAGCTGACGTTGACAATCGTGCGACTTGCATCCCGGTCACATCAGAGCTGACGTTGACAATCGTGCGACTTGCATCCCGGTCACATCAGAGCTGACGTTGACAATCGTGCGACTTGCATCCCGGTCACATCAGAGCTGACGTTGACAATCGTGCGACTTGCATCCCGGTCACATCAGAGCTGACGTTGACAATCGTGCGACTTGCATCCCGGTCACATCAGAGCTGACGTTGACAATCGTGCGACTTGCATCCCGGTCACATCAGAGCTGACGTTGACAATCGTGCGACTTGCATCCCGGTCACATCAGAGCTGACGTTGACAATCGTGCGACTTGCATCCCGGTCACATCAGAGCTGACGTTGACAATCGTGCGACTTGCATCCCGGTCACATCAGAGCTGACGTTGACAATCGTGCGACTTGCATCCCGGTCACATCAGAGCTGACGTTGACAATCGTGCGACTTGCATCCCGGTCACATCAGAGCTGACGTTGACAATCGTGCGACTTGCATCCCGGTCACATCAAGCTTAATGTTAAATCACGCGGCCTACAGTGAAGTCGCACAATTTCAAAGTCTGGGGCCATGCCGATTTTAAGTGTGATTTGTAAAACATCTGACAGATGTCTATGCAAATCGCACCTAAAGTAGTGTATGTACTACTTTAAAAATTGGCGCAGCTCCGACCAAGTCGGAACCGCACTGATGTGACTGCTGTAATTGCGGACAATAGGATGTGATTTGCAAGTCGCATGCCAATTCACACTCATTGCAACTGGGGGTTTAAAGCAGAGTTCCACCCAAAATGGGAAGTTCTGCTTGAAAGACTGGTCCTCCGCTCCCCATTAAGGATTGGCACCTTTGGGGAGCGGGTACTTGAAAACGACGGGTACCTACTCCCACTCCGCTGTGATCGCCTAGGGAAGTGGAAGTTGTCCTACCCTCCCTCCCCGTAGTCTTCTGGGACACGTAACAGGTCCCAGAAGACTACGGGGCCATTCAGGAAGCGCAGCGCTATTCGCACATGCGCAATGGGCACCCAGCTGTGAAAGCGCAAGCTGTCACAGCCGGGTGCCCACACTAAAGATGCCGGTCTCCTGGAATACAGGACGGCTGGTGAAATGGGCTGCAGGGAGGACACTGGGATCATGGGGGACAGGTGAGTGGCTTTTTTTTTTTTTTAAAAGTCCGCTACAGTTTTTGTTGCAGCTGACTTATTTTTTTTTTTTTTTACAGTGTGAGTGGAACTCCGCTTTAAGCCCCTGGTCATACTGCATGCGAATTGCCATGGGATTTGCATGCCATGCGACTTGCAAATCGCATGCCAAGTCACACCCTATTGTCCACAATTAGAGCAGTCATATCAATGCAGTTCCAACTTGGTCACCGATATCTAAAGTAGTACATGCACTACTTTTGGTGCAGTTTACGTACACATCTGTGTCAGATGTCTTGCAAATCACACCGGAAATTGGCATGTCACCCAACTCTGAAATCGTGCGACTTCACTGTAAGTCGCACGATTTCGAAGTTGGGGTTGATGTGACCGGGGTGTTGGGGCCCGTTCACATCAGATACAGTGGGATGCTATGCTGAACACATGCGTACTGCATTGACTGTATAAAATCCAGGTTTTTATGTTCCAGTGCACGAAAGTTACAAGAAGCTTGCAATAATTTTTTGTACTGCAAAGTACCATATATAAAAGGCCAAAGGAAATGTGAACTCTTAAAACGCTTTGCAAGCATTCAGAAATGCATTTGATGTAAATGGGCTCTTACACTGCGGTTAGATTCTGCAATGGTGTGAATTCTAAATTTGTCTTAAAGTAGAGCTTCACCTAAAATCGAAAGTTCTGCCTATTCTCCCTCATCGTAAGAATTTTTGGAGGGAATTGGTACCTTTTTCTGACAGGTACCACTCCCATTTCTGCTCTTTTCGCTGAGGTGAGAAAAGCGGAAGTTCAGCCCCCTCTTCCAGCAGCCTCCTGAGACATGTTGCATGCCCCAGGAGACTCAAAGCACAGCGTGTCTCTCGCATGCGCAGTAGGATGCCAGCTGTGAAACAGCAAGTCACAGCTAGCTTTCCAAAAGCAAGATGGTGGTGCCACAGACCTGAAGACAGGTGAAGAGCTGACAGCACTGGATCCATGGGTTGGAAAGTACCTGTATATTAAAGTGCTTGTAAAGCCTTTTTTTTTTTTTTTTTTTTTTTTCCCCTAATAAAATGACATATGTCATAATTGCCTGCACTGTGCAGTGGTTTTGCACACAGCAGCCCTTATCCTCCGCCTTCTTGGGTCCTCTGGCTCAACCCTCCCCATGGCTCCACCCCCCCCACCCTCTCCAGCAGAATGGTTGCTGTATCTGAACCAGTGAGGAGCAAGAGAGCCTAGGCTCTCATGCACATTGCTGGATTGAGATCAGGCTCAGCTAAGTGGGGGGGGGGGGGGGGGGGGGGGGGGGGGGGGGGGGGGGGGGCTGCATGCAGAATTTTTTTTTTTTTTTTTTTTTTAACTTACTGCACAGAACGCCTTTACAGCCACTTAAGTCAACAGCTATCGTATCTATATCTATTGGCTTTTACCTTTTTGTGTAATTGACTGTAGATCCTTTATAATTGCTTTATGTACTTAGAGCAGAGTGTTGAGCTGCCTAGTATCTGACTGTATTGATCATGCTAAACTGAGGCTGGCTTTCAGTTATGTATATTTTATCCCACAGCTTGAGGGTTAAGTCTTTTCATGAAATTGATATCTTTCCCAGGAAAAATCAGAGAAAGAAAATCCTATGCGTGACCTGAGAATCCGCAAGCTCTGCCTCAATATCTGTGTTGGTGAGAGTGGTGACAGACTGACCCGGGCGGCTAAAGTGCTGGAGCAGCTCACTGGGCAGACACCTGTCTTCTCCAAAGGTAAGCTTCTTGTCCTACAGTGAGGCCAGTCTTGCTGATTGTATAACAAAGCTTCATTTTCTTTTTTTCTAGGGGTGTACAGTACTGTTAGCCTCTGTGTACATTATAGCTCACATGTCAATCACACCACATTTCTGTGAGATTTCTATGAAATTCTGCGCACTGCACCAAAGAAGTGCACGCACATTTTATTGAGCTACTCTGGAAATCTTTCACATGGTTGGTTTTTTTACTGTGCAGTCAGGTTCAGCCAGACTCGCTGTGATTGCGACTTGCTTTTGAGGTGTCGTTAACTGAGAATTGACACCTGCAATAGATCGCAAAACTGTGTGTGCAGTACAGGAAATACAGGGGCCACAAAGTTTCCCACATAGCAAGGGGAAGGAGAACGTGGAGGCAAGTAAGGCTTTTACTACATGGGCTAGTAACACTGGGTGTTTTTTTTTTTTTTTTTTTTTGTTACAGGGACAGTTAAGAGGAAACTTCCATAATCAATTTCTAAGACAGCCATCAGAGGTGATTGGCTCCACAATTATCTTTTAACTGGGTATACAAGCACAGAAAAATTGGTTACAGGGTTAGGCAGGGGTAGTCGAGCAAGTAGAGAATCTCCAACTCCTGGAAAGAGATGATCTACAAATCTGTTTTGTTAAAGCTGTATGGTGCATCAAGTCAGGTCCTAGCTTAGTTTACATGAATTGGGGATGTTGGTAGTTGCTTGACTTATTTAGTTGATATCTGCCTGATTTTGGCCAAGAAATTTACAATGACTTGCATGTCCGTGTTGACTACTTTTTTTTTTTTTTTTTTTTTTTTTTTTTGTTCTACAGCTCGCTACACTGTGAGATCTTTTGGAATTAGGAGAAATGAAAAAATTGCAGTTCACTGTACTGTCCGAGGAGCCAAAGCAGAAGAGATCTTGGAGAAGGGGCTTAAGGTAAATCAAAATTTTAAATGGGCCTGACTTGCTTTAGTGCAGCTTTCTGACTTTCACTCAGATGCCAGCTAAGGTAGGACTGCAGAAGGTGTCTTGTCTTATTGCTGGACATCTCAGCTGGTGCCATGATCTTCAGTTTAGTGCTCTTGTATTCTAGGAGTGCGAAAAGAATATGTACTTGGAATTATCTGGGGCTTTAAGCCTAATTCTGTTTTTGGGTAGTGATCATAACCTTTAAAATACAACCAAAGGAAGTTAATCACCTTTCCTTCAATGGTCAGTCGCACACAAACCTGTCCGTTTTCAGCCATCTTCATCTGGTGTGGGATGCCATCACTCTGGCTCATAGGGATTAGGTCAGCAGCTGCAAGCTCAGTTTAAATGCCAGGGGATGCTGCAAATAGGCAGGTAAGTGTTTTTTTTTTTTTTTTATTGCAAGCGAGACATTGTATATCTCTTCTGCAATAAGAAAAGCTGCCTGTGAGCGGCAGAACTTTAGCCGCGCTTTAAAAGACAAGCTCACCTTTTGGTAAAAATAAGTGTCTGTAAAGCATTTGCACAGGTGATCAGTAGATTGCTGGTGCCATGCAGGTCTCCAAATTTGTCAGGATTTCTGCTTGCCATTCTGGCATATACAAGCAAGCAGATATATTGACCGATTTAATGAACTACCATGGTGCTATACAGCACCTTGGTAGTTAATTGAGAACAGCCACTTTTTCTTTTCTATATTTTTTTTTTTTTTTTTTTTTTTTTTTTTTTCCTTGAGGGGGGGGGGGGGGGGGTTGAGAAGAAATGGGGGGATTGGCAGGGAGCAGGGGCTTATGCTTTCACAACATTGTACACACTATAAAAGAACAAGTTCACCTGTGTATTATTCAAGGGAGGATGTTAGTGTTGGTCTTTTACAAATTGTCAGAGCTTGATTCTGGCCTCGAATTGCCATTGGCTTGCATTGCTCTTGCTTGTTAAGAGACTTCGGGTCACTTAGGCTTTACTGGTCCCTAAGCAGGGATCATAGAACAGTAGGATTTGTAAAATCATTGGGAAATATGCTAGCATTGCTATACATGGATGTAAAATGTGGCATTTTTAAAGGTGTGTGGTGTTTTTTTTTTTTTTTTTTGTTTGTTTTTTTGTTTTTTTTTTTTTTTTTTTTTTATGCTCTGCTATAATGGTGGCTTGTGTTTTTTGTGTACAGGTCAGAGAATATGAGTTGAGGAAGAATAACTTCTCTGAAACAGGAAACTTTGGATTTGGTATCCAGGAGCACATTGATCTGGGGATTAAATATGACCCAAGCATTGGAATCTACGGGCTGGATTTCTATGTGGTATGTATAATGTAGTACACAACTACGGTGGTTTTAAACCCTGTTTTTCTGATGTGGTGAACAAAATGTGAGCATCTGTTCATGGCTTTAACAAGAGGCTCTTGAAGCAGTAGTAAACCGCAGGTTTAAAAAGAAAAAATCCCCTCAAAGGAATGTCACTATGTGCTAATATGCATTGCTTACTAGCACATTATGAAGGACTTCTTTTAAAATGAAGCCCTCCAGCTTTTAATATGGTGGCTGCCTTTCCACTTTTTGTTTCTACCCTGGTGACCTGCTAGTTTATATTTTTAAACTTGTATCAGAGTGAACAGTCCAAAAAAAGTTTTAAAGGGCTGAAAATATTTAAGACTGTTGCTTAGTGGTTAGCTTTTAATATCTGTAAAAACATTAAAGTGGCACTTTTTATGTAGTAAAGATGGGTCAATAGGCAGATGAGACCTGCTTTGTCTCTATCATTACCTGCCTGTCTGCCCTTGTACAGTGAGCTGCACCCATGAAAATGGGTCACTGTTCCGAACGAACTGCGCTCTTGTGATCCACAGAAGTACAGTGAAAATAGCTTCTCCTTTAACCGCCTCCCGCCCACCATATAAGCTAATGACGGGCGCAAGGCTTTTCTCTCATTCCGCGCATGCACGGATCCGCGAGCGCGGCGATCGGTGGTGCGCTGTGTCCCTCGGACACAGCGGATCAACAATCAATGGAAAGAGCCAAAGATGTCGGCTCGGTCATGTGATCAGCTGTGTCTAATCACAGCAGATCGCATGTAAATAGGGAAGTGCCAGTTATCGTCATTTCTCTCCTCACGAGCTGTCACGCTGACAGGTTGTGCGGAGAGCTGGTAATCGGCATTCCTCAGAGGGGACATTTGTACACTGATCATCGGTGCCCTGATGATCAGTGTAGCCCCAGCAGTGCCGCCTTATCAGTGCTCATCAGTGATGCCTGTCAATGCCCATCAGTGCCACCTACTATTGCCACCTATCTGCTCCTCAGTGCCAATCACTGCAACCATATTAGCGCACATCAGTGAAGGAGAAAAATCACTTATTTACAAAATTTTATAACAAAAATTAAGAAACGTTTGTTTTGTTCAACATTTCAGTTTTTGGTTTGTTTAGCAAAAAATAAAAAACCCAGGGGTGATTAAATACCACCAAAAGAAAGCTCTATCTGTCTAAAAAAAATTCATATGGGTACAGTTTTGCATGACCGCGCAATTGTCATTCAAAGTGTGACAGCACTGGAAACTGGCCTGGGCAGGAAGGGGTTATAAGTGCCCAATAGGCAAGGGGTTAAATAGGTGTTTTTGCATTGAAGTCAATTATCCTTATCTGTTTTCCCTTCCTCCCTTCCTTCCTTTCCTCCTTCTGAAAAAGCTGATAGCCCTATTTGGCTGATTTTCAGGGATTGATGTATTGGTGCATCACTATATGCCCTTTGGAAAGTTAATTTTTTTAGTATATAAATGGAGTTAATGCTGGTTCAAAATCTTAAAGCAAATTTGTTATTTTGCCCATTGTAAACAAAGTTGCATATACAACTTGAATGTGTGCTAGTGTTTAAACCACTTCCCGTCTGGCCCGCGTATATAAACGGCCGGACGGTGGCAGTGCAGGGTAGGGTGGCCGTTAATAAACAGCCTCCCCGCACCCTGCTTGTGTGCGTTCCCTGGGAGCGCGCAGCACCACGATCCGGTGCCCGTTGTGTCCTCCGGACACAGTGGAACATTGATCGTCGGACGGGACCTCTATGCGAGGTCCCGATCATGTGATCACGGATTAGCCAATCCGTGATCACATGCAGAGTAGTAAGCAAGATGTCACTTCTGACATCATTGCTTACTACCTGTGAAATCTGTGAATGATCAGAGGTCGCATGGTATAAGGCTATTCATAACAGCTTTGCACCAAGTGACAAGCTGTGACCAATCTCAGCTCACACAGTAGTTCTCAGTGGCTGCAAGAATGCAGCTAGAGAGGAGAAACTATTGCTTTTACAGCCTTTTATGGGTGTAAAAGCAATCGGTGTGGTGGGGGGGGGGGGGATCTTCATCACCCCCCACTAGTAGTGTCACCATGGTGACACTGTACTGCTAGGGTGACAGTATGTAAAAAGAAAAAAACATAACTATAAAAAAGTAAGGGTTTAAAAATTTCAATTTTTGGTTATAAACTAATTTGGGGTTTTTTTGTTTTTTTTTTTTTTCACTGAAAAGATAACTGAATACATTTTGGCCAAGATTTATGATAAAATACTATTTATTTGCAAAATTTTATAAGAAAAACACTTTTAAAAATGTTTGGACTTTTTCATTTACATAGCAAAAAAAAAAATAAAAATCCCAGTGGTGGATAAATACCACCAAAATAAGGCTTTATCTGTCTCAAAAAAATGCTAAATTCATATAGGTACAGTGTTGCATGACCACGCAATTGTCAGTGTGACAGCACTGAAAGCTGAAAATTGGCCTGAACAGGAAGGGGGTAAAAGTATCTGGACTGGAAGTGGTTAATGTTTGGAATTCAAACTGCTGTTCAAAAGTGGTTGTAAACACTCACATATGCTCAGTGAAGTGACTAGGCTCAGGTGATACAAATATGAAACCATTCCTCCTACATAAGCTCTACTTGTATCTGCAGCCATTCATAGTGCAGAATTTATCTTGCTTGTTGAGCTTTCAGAAAGCAGGGGGCAGGGATATGAAGTTACTTTGCAGACCTCAATGAGCGCTATTCGGAGTGAAGCACACAAACCCCCCCCCCCCCCCCCCCCCCCCCCTTCCACAGCACACAGGCAGGGAACTGAACTGAGGCTGTCAATTAGTTGTGTGCTGGAGCTCCCTCTCCTGTCATCTATTATTTTTTTTTTTTTTTTTTTTTTTTTATCAGCAACTCAAGGCTCTAATCTGTCAAAAACTAGAACTCCTAGCATATTCTAGAACCTGTTGGACAGTAGCTAGACTTAAAACACTTTCAGAACTATTGAGGATTCACAGGTCAGAGCAAATATGGTGGTCTCAGGCATTGGAACTCTGTTCACTAAAAAACGTATACTTAAATTGCTACCTGGTTCATAAATACCCTTTTCTGTTGAAAATAAACTTTCAGAGCCTGTTCATTAGTGGCTAATCCCATTTTATATTTTTGCAGTAAAACTTGTTGAATATTGCTATCTAATGTTCTTGGAACTTCATAGTAGACTTCATTGCTGTAGGTAACTGCACTGTTTACTGCATTAGTTTCAGCCTCTGTCATCCTGTACCACCAACAGGTTGTTTTCAGGATTTCCTTCACTTTTTACAGATTCATTAAATGTCATTAGCTTATTTGACAGCTTCTTAAAGTGTTACTAAACCCACAGCAGTAAAGTCAGTCTGTATATGCAGTAAAGCATGCTTGTTATACTCACTGTGGAACCTAAGGGGTTAATCCTCCACATTGTATAAAGACAGTTGGATCTGGTCTTCTCTGATACTCCCCTTCTACTGTCCCCAATCAATCTGCTGATGGTACAGTGCTCTAGAAGTCACTCTGCACATGCATGCTTTAGTGTGTATTGCTAGTGTTTTGGGGTTTTTTTTTTTTCCCCCCCTTTGGGAGGGTGCATGTGATGAGCACTGTCCAGAGGATCATCGGTTATGCAGGCTCAGAGGAAAGTCGGAGCAGAATGAAAACTCTAACGGGTGCTCAGCTGCACACTGTCCCTAGATTGTTATATTGCTGATAAGGAATTTAGCAGTTAATATTTACTAAAATGATTGCATTTCTGTGTACTGTGGGAGACCAGATAAAGTGAATTCAGGGTCCTGAGTTTAGTAACACTTTAAGGGAAATTCCTAAAGCATGTTTTTTGGGGTACTTGAGGACTGAGGTTGTAAACCATTGAATGTGGCTAGACAAAGGTAAATTCTGACTAGTTTCTTTAGGTACCGGATATGCTTTTGGTCATTGCAATTTTAATATAAAAGGCTCATGCGGACAACAATTTAGTTCTTGGTGGTCTATACTCTTGTAGGTCCTTGGCCGTCCAGGCTTCAGCATTGCTGACAAAAAGCGCAAGACTGGCAGCATTGGTGCCAAGCATCGGATTGGTAAAGAGGAGGCAATGCGTTGGTTCCAGCAGAAGGTAAATTGTTATAGGACTTATACTCTGAAGTATTGTCATATTTTTATATTGTAATGTTTCATCTAAATACATTTTTAAAATTTGGTCAAATATTTATATGCAAGATTTCATTTTTCAGTCTGTGTGGATGGTGCTCTAGGCTCCCCTTAAAGCGAAGCTCCACCCAAAAGGGAAGTTCCACTTTAAGGATTGGTCCCCCACACAGGAAGTGGCACCTTTGGGGAGCAGGTACCAGATTTTTGGCAAGTACCTGTTCCCACTTCTGCTCCAACCATCTAGGAGATCAGAAGTGGAAGTTCCGCCTAAAGATAGATGAAATGTGCAGTTTTAAGCACATAAACATTTTCCAATTGAAAAACCATTCTAATTTGACAGCTTTTGAAAGATGCACTGAATTGATTGAGATTGTCAGAACAGTGCAGGCCCTAGAAGTGAGGAGATCATTTACTGCTGGCATGACTTGTGCAATAAAAGTGTTTGCCTCTTAAATCACACTTTAATAGAAATGAGTAGAAGGTTGATCCTAAAGTAGTACTGTTAATCTCAATAAGGTTTGCTCGCTTTTCAAAGACTAGCCATACATATTTTTCTGAGAGCCATTCACATTTTGTGTAATGTGCAATATGCAGTAAGACATGCACTTCCCATCTATTCTACCGTGGCATGCTTTGTGAAATGCATCTCAAAGCACTGTTGTAGAGCGTGACATACCGCAGTGTACAAGCATCCCATGTGTTGTAGTGAGCTGCATTGCTAAAGGGTCACATGCATGGTTATCCTTTAGTGAGCCCTGAAATCTAGAAGTGCTGATGGAATGTTTGTAATTTTCTAGTGACATTCTAACTTTTTCCTAATTTTGCATCTTGGTACAATTCTTTTGTGCAGAATTGCATGTATGGTGTGTAGCAAAGTATTGGGTGTCCTGCGGGGCTTGACAAATCCCACACTAAACCCCACCCCCTTGACCAACTCCTCTCCCCTGCCCCACAGTGGAGCCCAGCTAAGTGTCCTGGAACCCCTGGAGTCTTCTCCATTCCTCCCCGTGCACATTCCAGATTGAGCTAACTGGTGCAAAACACCACAGTAGCTGGCCCACTGGAGGACACTGCTTCTCACTGACAATCTGGTCCACTGATGTGGCCATGCATGAATGCTCGGAGGGTCGCCAGAGCCCGTCAAGGCCACCTTCACATGCAGCTTTCCCCAGTAGGCGCATCGAGAGACTGCAGTCACTGGGCCACCAAGTCAGACAGCCCCATCTCCAGCACAGCGTCAACACTGCAAACTGCCCTAACCCCCCTTCCCCAACCACCAGGCGGACATGAGCTCAGCTACCCCTCCTGGCACCAGATACACTCCACTGACACCATCTGGAGGAGCCACTGCTGGATAGGTAGCTGTGATGCTACCCCCACCTTGCTTTATAACTTTTTAGCTGGCTCCTAGATTCAAAGCAAATTTGTCAAGCCCTGGTGTACTGGACATCATGACTGGTGTAAAGTAGGTATGGTAGAGATGCGTCAGATAGTGCTTTGTGGCTTTCACTTGTTGGGCAAATGGTCTCAAGTCTAAAAATGGTGATCATTAGTGTTCAGATTGTAGTGTCCTCAAGCTTGTTTAATCAGCTTGAGGTGGCCAGTCAGGGTTAGAACGAATCTGTTATGATGCAGACACACCTATAATCAGGTAATTTTTGGCAAACTCCTTTTTGTAAACGGCCTTTTTTGACCAGGTGCCTTGAGAAGTAAACCTACGCATATACTGAATCTCTGTCCTGGAATATGTGTTGAACTGAGAGTGATGGTCCCTTTTACACCTAGTTAGTTCTTAGAAGAGCGATGAAGCGATTACTAACCACATTGGTTTATATTGCTGTGTAGTGTCCGTAATTTCCATACTCATACTTTGTGATCACGTGTGGGCAAATTTCTGGGGTAGAATTGATGGCCAATGCTTTGTTTTCAGCTGGTGGTTTTAAATAATCATCCCTTTATAGTTGTATATTAAAAGTGTGTGTATATGTTTCTATTACAGATCTTTAGTGCTGCAAATTTATTTAAACCTTTAGGAATTGTACAGTATGGCTTTGCATGTTCTGCTTTTCACTTAAATTTTGGTGAGGCACACCAGTAAACCACAATGAACATCAGGCTATGTCATGCATGCTCTTTTGTGTGATAGTTGGGCCTTGCACAGACTTCTTTTTTTTTTTTTTTTTTTTTTTAATTGGCATGTATACTAGAATTTGGGGGACTTTAAACAGATCTTGGTGGTGGGACTGCAGTCTATTTACAAGAATTGCAGCCATGGTATTTTGGACCAGTATTTGTATACGATACCTGGCTGAAGCCCTTGGAAGCTAGAAATCACTCATGTAGGATACCACTACTTCAGTGATCTCCACTTGTGGGCCCTGTGCTAAGCCTGATGCATTGTGGACGTGGAAGTAATCCGCTTAGTGTGGGCACCATTCAGAAAATGCTTTGCATTTTCTGAATGAATACAAAGCAGTGTCAGATTCTGATTGAACAAGGTGGGGCGGCAATGCAGGGATGTTGAATTACTATCGCCTGATGCCCAGGACATGTAGTTCTGGGCGCTGGGCAGGTAGTTTCTTTCTACCTTTAGCCCTGCTGTGGGCAAGCAGCAGGGCTCGCCTGTCAGGTGAAGCAATCAGTGGCAGTGTTCTTGCTGATTGCTTCACACAGTGCCAGCCTCTCCACGCCCTGGCCATGAGGTCTCCCGGGCTCTGCTTGGCCATCTGCAGGCCCGGCTTGCCGTCAGCTAGAGGGTAGGGAGAAGCAGACAAGTCCACTCCCGTCCCCTTGTGCTAACCCGGACGTGATGTCACTTCTGGGTCCCCACTGAGAGATTGTAATTCAAAGAATGTAATATGGTGCGATGTGCACCACATTACATTCAGTGGAGCAGAGGGTGACATCCAGGGTCTTTTAGACCTTGGATGTCTCAGAACTTGTCACCAAAAATCATCACATAGGGAACTTTCGTCCCCTATGTGGTGGGAAAAAAAATAAATTTTTAATTGTAAAAAATTAAAGTTACACCCAAGCACAACACCCCCCCCCCCCCCCAAAAAAAAATTGAGGCCCCAACCCCCACATATACGCATGTACAAACGTAAAAGCACACGCTGGGAAGCCTACGCATGAAACCGTTGATTGTGATACACATGTCACATATGGCTGCAGACGCCAGAATGCACGCAATAATTCTAGCACCAGACCACCTCCGTAACACGTGACCTATAAGGGGCTTTAAAAGTGTCACCTATAGAAAATATTGGGTACTGATGTTCGTCACCATTTCACGTAGCGCACAAATTTTAAGGTTTCACAAGTTGGATATCGATATACTCGATGCAACCTCATCTTTTATATTTTACAAAAAAATAAGGCAATTGTATTTTTTACTGAAAGTTTGCGGTAATATGTGACATAAAAAATTGGAACTACCACTATTTTATTCTCCAAGGTCTCTGCTTTCAGAAAATATATCATGTTTGGGGGTTTATGTAATCTTCAGACCTAAAATTATTTTATTTTTTAAATGTGTGCAAAAAATGGCTCTGGCAGCATAAGGGTTAAAGTACAAGCCCTGACCCACCCTTTTACGGGGGGGCAGCCAATCGTTCATCACACTGTACACGTTTAAGTTGCCATAAAGACCCTTTTGTTTTTAAAAGCCCCAGACATTCCTAAAATCACCTTCGATTTTTAAATACGGTTTTTTTTTTGTTTTTTTTTAATCTGGACAAGTAGATTGGAGCCCTGATTTTAGTCCCTGGACAAGTAGGTTTTTTTTTTTTTTTTTTTTCACCAGCAATGTCACACCCTCCACTTCATCCAATTGGTGAATGCTTTGCATTTTTTGACACCCATGCCTGACTTGCTGACCACCTACTGGTATTCAGTATCTGGCTGGCCTCTTGGCACTGGTCCCAGAAGCAAGTGAAGATCACTGGAGTAGCGGTGTCTACTTTAGTAATTTCCAGCTTCTGGGGTATCGGCTAGGGATGATGTATTGTTCCAGCTTGAACCAATGTAACTTTGTATACAAGTATACACCATGCCTGGAATTTGCTTTTTAGAAAATTGAACAGTCTAACAGGAACTTGTTCTAAGCAATGGGCTCTCCCAGTAAGATGTGTGATCCCAAACTGGAGTAGAATCTTGCTTTTAAGAAACCTGTTTGAATGCAAGCGTGACAGGCTTAATGTTGCACAGAATGCTCTTATACAAGCTAAAACTTGTATACAAGGTCTTAAAAATTGGGTTCCTTTTTAAGTACATTCGGCTAAATACCTGCCTTCTTGCATTGCCAACCCCAATTATGTGACCAGAAAACTGGCCACATAATCGAGGTTGTATTGAACCATTCAGAAAATGTTGTCCACTCTCATGACCATGCTTCAACACCTTGATTCTGCTTGGAGCAAGTGTATTCGAAAAGGACTTATAATTTTGACTAGAATTTTTAACTCTTGCTAAACAGCAGATCAATGAAACATCCCCGTATTTCTTGTAACAGTTTTTACTTTGTAGTGTCTTATTGGTAAATTATAGCTTTTAAAGTGGGACTTTACCCAGAACAACTTGATAAAAAATGGATCATATACTCCACAATATATACTACCAAAATTAGTGTGCACTGTAAATTGCCTCCATCATTGCTCCCATTTCTGCTTGCCGGAGGCTGCCATTTTTTTTTTTTTTTTTTTTTTTTTTTTTTTTTTTTTGAAGGCCAGAGTCCTGTGCAGCATTAAGGTGTACATTTTTAATACCCTGTACACCCTCCCTCCTAGATTGTAAGCTCGAAAGAGCAGGGCCCTCAAACCCCTCATGTATTTTGTTACTGTATTGTCTCATGTTCTGTCCCCCACTATAATGTACAGCGCTGAGCAAACCTTCTGGCGCTATATAAAATACTGTATAATCTTTAGGCTATCAAATCAACCTCTAAAAACTTGGCACAGTGCCTAAAAATGGAGCAACTGAGCATGTGTAGAGCACTGGATCTAAAACGATATAGGCACTTTTTTTTTTTTTTTTTAAATCGTTATGCCTGCAAAAGGGGCCAGCCTGAAGTGATCCATGAGGACTTGATTTTCTGACTAAAGTTCCGCTTTAAGTAATATCCACACGTTTTGATATTTACTGCTGGCAAATATTAAACATGTTCCTTGATTCTCTAACAGTTTTTGTTTTGTTTTTTTTCTAGTATGATGGCATAATTCTCCCTGGAAAGTGAGCTGCTCCCGTTTCTACAAAATCAATAAAATTTCTGACAAAACTTACTGTTGTCCCTTTTTTTTTTTTTACCTGTTTTCTGTAAAGAGTCATAATGTTTCATGTAAAAGTTAGGTGATCTATTAATCTCGGATTGTTATACTACAAACATCCTGAAAATGTCAAGACTTTAGACATGTTTAACTACCAGTTGTGAGCTATACCTGGGGGATGCACTGTAATTATGAGTTGTGCTTGTTATAGTAACCAGTCTCCCACCTGGGATGAGAATAGGAGAAATAATTGCGGGTCTTGAGCAGTGCAGGTTCTGTCAAGAGGGCTGCCAGATGTTGCTATGGTGTCTTTTTCCCTGATGAGATGAGATGTCACAAACCACCAGTAACTTTTAGCTTCAATTACTTGCTCCCTTCCATCAGGCTTACTGTGATATTTGGACACTTTCATGTTTTCATTTTTGAAAAAACCTAAACTGCACAGAATGCAAGGAAAGTGCTGTAATTTGTTTAAAACCAGTAGAAATTGTTTCTTTAAAAAAGGACAAAGGTTGTCCTTTTTTAAAGGGAAGTGTAGCTTTCTGGAATTAAAAAAAAAAAAAAAAAAAAAAAAAAAAAATTGTACTCTCCTAGGTGGCAGTGGCATCTCTCCCCTGCCAGCTCAACAAGAACTGAGCCATCAAACACCACTGATCATGCAGTTCTCCCCTCTGCTCTGGGCAAAGAGTTTGACTGTCTGTCACTGGAGCGCTTGGCTGTGGAAGGGCTGGCACAGTGGATCATTAAGAGGCTGAGCCAGGTGCTGATCCAGGTTTCTTTGGTCAGGATCTTTCCAGAGTTTAGACAGGCTTTGACATCAGCTGTCAGCAGGCTTCAGACTGTTAGCTGAAGACTGAGAACTGCACTGTTTTGATCCATAGAAGTATAGCTTTGTATAGTATATACTTTGGCTATACTTTTAGACTCCTGAAAATGTTTTGCCTAGCTTAGTGTTCTGGAACAGGGATACAATAGGTGCAGCCAGCTCCTGCTCTGCATACTTAAAGCTGTGCTGTAGATCCATTACTGTAGCTATAAAGCTCAAGTATGTTCAAGCTTTATACTGGCAGACTTGCCTTTATAATTTGCCCCCCAGTGCTCACAAGACAGAACTGTCACTCAGTCTGGCTGCTTCTGGTCTTGGATTCACGGCACTCCTGCCATTGTGTGGCCAACTTATAAAGCTGCTGCACATGTGTACTTGGGGTTGTCATTCTAGCTCTTACAGATGACAGCAATGGGCTGGGAGTGAATGCTGCACTGAAAAGTAAACATTTCCTAGAAAGCACAGGTAGGTTTTGACTTTTTTTTTTTTTTTTTTTTTTTGTTTGACTGAGGTTAAACACATCTCTTGTAAAAGGTTTAGAACTTTACATTTCTTGAAGAAAAAAGCTTGCTGAAGAATCTTTAAGCTAGGCATACATGCTTATTTAGGCTGTGGGGGGGGGGGGGGGGGGGGGGGGGGGGGGCCTGGTGGAATAATCCAGCCCAAGCCTGGTGAAAAATTCTCAGCCAAAATGGTGACTGCAACTATCAGATGCAACCACTGGTTAGGTATTCAGACAGCTGCTTCACCCTTGCATAACTGCTGAGAAAAAGATGTAGCTTTTTCCAAAAAGGGTAAGATGAAAGCTGGCCATACACAACTGGAATTGGGAAAACTGACATTGAATAAAAACAAACTGAGCGAGGTGGAAATTGTTTTTCATAAGTGACTACATCCTGTTTCTGTATTTAGGTGGCAGTGGAGATTCCTCCCATGTGTGGATGGAGGAATCTTTGAGTGCTTTTATATAGATATAATTTTATATTACTGAAAAGACTTTCTTCTGCATTAAAGATCCTGCCTGTCTGCCTATTTTAATTACTCAGCCTAAAGTTTCACTTTAAAGCAGAACTAAACTCTTTAGGTATTTTTTTTTTTTTTTTTTTTCCTTCAGTCAAGCTGACATTTTTAGACTCTGATCTACAACTGCCATGAAGCTGCATATGTGATCAGTTGTTTGATGGTTTGAAAGCACAAGCAAATGTGACAGTTGGCATTCCTCACTTGCTGGGACTTTATATAAAAGACAAAACATTTTTAGATGGAGTGGAGAGGGATTAAGACCCCACCCACTCCCTAGCAATTTTTATTGCTGTATGTGCCCTGTTAGGGAGATTCATCCTCTATTTGTCCTGTTTACCATGATCAGTGAAAGTGTTAAAAAAAAAAATTGGTTTTCCCTAGAAGAGTTAGAAATCTTTCAATGGGGACAAAAGTTCTGGGTACCTGGGTATTCCCAAGGAATTCCCCTAATTTTCAAGTATTTACTCTCATCTGTTTGGCTATGGGACAGGAAGTGAAGGGGAAATCTCTGCAATTGGGACACATGGGGGAAGAAAGACAAGTTATAACCCTCCCTTAGGCTAGGCTCACACCTATGCAGTTTGCATTTTAAGCAGTTTCTGCTTTGCATTGCATTTTTGCACCTATGTTTAAAATTTTTCTTGATGCTAGGCAGATTTAAAATGCAGCAAAAACGCACTACATTCTTTTCAGCAGCGTTTCCATTGAAGTCTATAGTCCCTTAGTCCCTGACCCTTTCCAAAAAAATGCACCGGGTGAAAATACAGAGATGTGAACGTGCTCCTGTAGGAAATCATGTTAAATAGACTGCTGTGCGTTTCTGCAAAACTGCTGAAACCTCTTAGCTGTGAACCTAGGGCAACCATCCAACCTGGGAGAAAAGTTTTTGCCTATAGTTCTACTTAACTTTTTTTTTTTTTTTTAACTGATGGGTCTAGTTCAGCTTTAAAGTGAGATAAGTGGAAAAAGAAAAGGTTGGTACTTTTCTGTGTGCCACTGCATTGGAATGACTAGTATGAAAGAAAAAAAAAATAAGCTTCTGCACTTCCCTTTTTTAAGCAAGTTGGAAATGAGAGTAGTTAGCACAAGCCTATTGTCTTCTTGCTTAGTATTGAATATTAGTATTAGATTTTTATTTAAAAGGGGAAAATTACAGTAACCATTCCTTCCTAGAAGGGTTGTCAACTGCCATTCATTCTAAAACTGGCCATCCATACAAGTTTTTGTTTGATTTTCTAATTGTTGGGGGTCAAATCAATGTTCATTTTTAACAGCAGTGGTGGGAAAACTTTAAGGGGGCAGCAAGGAAAACTTTTCTTGAGCAAATTAAATTTTTAGCCGGTGTATGTGGTTATCGTTCACAAATTACATTTTGTTTCAAAAGTGTTAAAAGAATTTTAGAATGACATCCATCAAATGCTCAAAGAATTTTTGGATGACTCTGCTTACGAATATTCTCATCTGAAAATCTACACATGTATGGCTAGTATCGAGTAGCAAGCAAGGTTCCCTGCCAAAGCAGCGGTCTGTTTAAAATGTGTGATAGGTTCTCTTTAACGCTTTCTGTGAATGAAAAGGATGCAGGGGGGCGTTTGCCAGTACTAAATATGGGAGTCTGCGAGCCTTTCCCAGCACGCCCAGGGGCAGACACGTCATGTTGCAAGTTCCGGTTCCATTAACTGGGATGGTAGGCGATACTGGGTAATATGGATTAAATGTAACTTCCGGTGTGCTTGCCTGCCAGTACTAAAGATGGCGGAATCCGTGGTGGAAGTTGTAGAGAAGCTGCAGTCTAGACTCTCGGCCAGTACGGAGCCTAAGAAGGTAAGATTTGGGATATGGACGGCGGTCCGGGGCCAGGCAGAGAGATCAGGGAAGGCAGCGTGTGTGTATAAAGGATGGTGTGAGCAGGAGCTGTGTATGCGTCCAGATGATACACGGAATGATCGGGGGGGGGGGGGGAAGCTCGGACCCCCCTCCAGTCAATGGTGTGCTGTTCCCGGATAGTGTGACCGGAGTAGCACCTCCCTGTCCCTGTGTGTGGGGGGGCCTGGAGCCTGCTTACTGCGTACAGACCCGATCCGGCCATATGCTGGAGGCTGAGCAAACACAGAGCTTCTCTGGTAGTCTAGTCAGGGTTAACTTACTGCAAGTACTTCATCCCAGTCATCAATACAGCCCCCATCATCCTCTGGGCTCCTAGTCCTGTGAGGGCACCGGAAGTAGTAAGAGTGCAGTGGTCTCTATGGGCTCATGTGAAATGTCAGGGCTCATTCACACCATAGTGCACCCATGCAACGCATGTGATTTGACTTGGCTTTGCAGTGCGTTGCCTCACCCCTCATTTCTTTGCTCTTAATACGTCACACATTATAGTATATAAGAACGCGTTGCCCAAGAACGCTCCTTGTCCTGTTTTGGCGCACAGCAAAGTGACCCATTGGGGTGACCTGAGCTCCTAGGGCAGGGGTAGGCAACCTGAGAGCAGCAGGACTACAAGTTCCATCATGCCTCTGTAAGTCATAGCTGTAACTCAGTTTTGTAATCTTTGCAATGCCTCATGGGAAATGTAGTTCCACAACAGCTAGAGAGCAACAGGTTGCCTACCCCCTGTCCTAGGGCAAGAGGCAGACTCCATTGGAACTGCACAGTCATATTACAGACGTGAACGAGTCACAAAGCCCAACTCCAGAAAGGAGTAGCACCTTGTTCACACAGGCATAGGCCCGCACAAGGGTTGTGTTGACCCACACGTGGATGGACAGGTGTTCCATGCACCTCCCATGCAGGTGGTTCCATTCGTTTCAGATGGGATGCAGCGGTTGCATGGTCACAGCTGCTGCTCCCAAGTTGACAGCTATGCCAATGCATGACCTCAGACACAGTCTATGTTTAGGGCCTTGCGCTCATGCAGCTGTCACCTTGGATCTGTGTAGCCGCAGTATCCCAATTGAAATGAATGGGACTGCCTGCACAAGGATTGCATCCCTGTGTTGGCATATGCTATAGCAAGGTTTTTCAACCAAGGTTCCATAGGACCCTAGGGTTCCTACAGAGGTTGCTAGGGGTCCCATGAGCAATTTCTGTCTCTCAGATAAGTTCCAGTTATCTTTTAGCTAT